TCCTGGGAGCTACCCTGCACGCTGATCATGGCATGAAACCGTCTGCACCAAAATCCAGAAGTGGGAAAGCATAGCAATCTAAAGTCAACTTTATGTTCAATATGGTCATCTGTTAGAACAGTGAATGTGGAGGTGGTGCTGGGACTACCCTTAGGGTGCCCTAATACAGCAACAAGAGAGGCACCTTGGTGCTATCAGTTTATATAACACTTTTCATACATCTGATTTAATGCCTTAAATAAGAAAGCAGCTGTAGCTCTTAGAAGACATTAGCAACGTTCATTTATATTGCTTTTTTCATTTGAGCAGCACTTAAAGCCAGCTTTAGTGCACTGCTTACATTATCAGCTAACTGTAGGGCCATCAACGTCTACAGATCAAATATGGAAAAATGAGCCACCATTCCTGTCAGCTGATACATAGTAATTTTAAAAGTATCCTTTGTGTGAGCTGTAAAAAGGAAAAGTCAGTTAAAAGAAGTCAGGCAGTGCCAAAGACCTCACTGAAGAAACAGGGGGACTCTGTTATTCACTGCAACACTGATTGCAATGAAAGAATTTGAAGAGCCCAGCTGTGCAGCACTTTGTCTGCGGAGGGTGGGGAACAGCTGGCTATATCGCTCTTGTACAACGCACGACACTTGGTGGGCTGAGATTAACTCATTAAGGGTATGAGGATGACACTTTAAAAAAAGGAAGTAATCAAAAGAGAAGTTAGTGAGTTCTTAGGCTTTAATCCTTTTTCAAATGTGTTACTTGACTTAACTTCATGGGTGACATTTTCATGTCAGTGCTGTAAAACAGTTCTGTAAAATCCACAACTTTGGGACTGAGAAAGGAGTTTTTTTCAGGTCCTACAGCTTAACGCTGCTGCAGTGACTTAGAGACTTGCTGTGTATTAAATCATTGAATAAAAAATTCAGGTAACAACAAATGAAACCAAGCTTAAATATTTCTCTTTTGACCGAGTAAACCAATTTTTTTTTCCATATCACCTTGTCTATAGGATTCAAAGTCTAAAATAAATGACAATGGCTGACATTATAGGATTGATTTACTGTAAAACGTGTTTTCAAAGATATTGTTGGAAGCTGTGATATCCACATAATATATTCATGCTGGATCACAGCTTGTAAATTCATAAGAAAACGTTTGGTGTCCAAATCTCACTTAATGCAGCTATTGTTTTAAACTTCCTTCAATAGGATTTCAAATACACATTAAAATAAATTATTCTGTCTTAGCAAGAAAATGGGATGGGTATTACTGTTTTTCAGCTGGTAGCATACTTTCCAATATATTTGTAAGGATAAGAACAAAACCTAATCGAAAACTTTTCGTTTTTCCACAGTGGGAGAGGAAAGAGTACAGTTATCTCACCCAGACACAGAACTGACAGTCTCACTAACCTTAATCTGTCTGGATTCACTGTTACATTGCTTTATTGCACATATTTCAGATGTTACAAGGCAGAACAGACTATCAAGGGAACATACGCCCTGCCAGCTACAAAGGACAAAAGGCACAAACACACAGAAGAGAGAAGGCCATGATAAGTGTAATGAGGCAGATTGTTTTTGTTTTTTTTTCGAATTTCCTTCTTTTCCATCAGGAACAGATTTTGTCAAGAAATGTGAGTGTCAGATTTTAAATAAATGCGTTTGCAAAAAAAGAGGAATTGTGCAGAGGCTATTGAGGAGATGTTTGCTTTGACACCACATGCTTTTACTTGCTGGATATCAAAACACTGGAGCTAAAATTCTGTGAGTACCTCATTGTTTATTCTTTCTTACACTGGCATAGGCAAGCAAATGTAAAGTCTTTCCAAGTGGAAGCAGAGAGGGTATTAAATGACAGCACAGACTTTTGGTGTGTATAATCAGCAAGGTTTCTAGAGCTGCTTGATTCTTACAAAGCAATAACACACAGTCTGTTTTCCTCTTTCAGCTTCCAATTATGACAGCCATTGACCTTCAAGTTCGTTCAAATTCCTTGCAAGTGCCAACAAATTAATTAAAACTTCATAGGAATGTGACAGTCTCAAGGAAGAAATGGAGTAGTAGGGCTGAAGCTTCTCTTCTTGTTGTTTTAGAGAAAGTATATTTTAGAGAAAAAAGAAAGCCTTTGGTCTTCACTTCTTTCCTAAGAACTCAGTAAGTACTTTTAAGGTACAGATTTGATACCACTGCTATGATCTTTGATTTACTTTTAAAAAGTCTTGCTTTTATGCTAAGAGTATATGAATATTGCTGTGAAAAGAATGAATACCTGACTCACAATCTCTTCCACTTAGACCCTCTGATTTAAGGTTTGTTCAGCTGGCCAGAGAAATTACGCATCTCATGATCACATTCCTCCAAGGACACACGTATATACATGTGGAAAATGGTGAAGGAAGGTCATATTAGCAGTCACAGCACCCCAATCCAGCCTGATTTCTACTTATAAATTCCTTACCTCTTGGTATACATTAATACCATAAAGTGTGGGCAGCAGTATCACAGATAGAAGAAACTTTAACAAGAAAGGAATTCATAATTGCCAAGAAGCAGCAAACAGTAAGACACATATAAATTGAAGTTCCTTTGAACATCTGCAACTGGTAGCTTACAAGGAAGAATTCAGGATTGCTACTACCACAGAAAGTTATTTTTAAAATTTTGCAATGAGGTTGTGGAGAAATGCTAGGCTTGCAAGGTTCAATTTAAGCAAGGCAAAGCAACATGTTTATCATGCCCTGGATAAAGCAAGGATGAGAGCTGAGGAATTTGTTCATCTGGCAAAAAAAAGCAAAAGGATAAGAGTGATGGTATCTGCTTCTCCCTTCTACAGACCTTGCGAGGGGAGATAACAGCTGAAAGAAGGAGCCTTGTGGTAGTGAGGCAGCTCTGTTTTGGCTAAAAAGTAAGGAAATAAGCAGAAAACCAGTTTCAGCACAAAACTCTGAAGGCTACGATGCCCTGGAGTGAAACTTTTCCTTAATTATCTAGAAAATTAACATTAGTTACACCCCTGTGTATGTTAATGAGATCATGCTACATATCTATGTTACTCAACTCTCCACGTAAATCATGCTATACATAACCTATGGGAGGGCAAACAAAGAGAATAAGGGGTAAAAATTGGGAGAAATGGACTGAAGATCTAGAAGAGACGGTTGATGGGCTATGCTCCTCTTCCTCCACCCAAGATAGGGATGCCTTCTCGGTAAGAATTGCACCTTCTCCTCTGGCAAAGAATACCCAGGAAAACTTGACCAGCATTATTATTGTATATTAGTGCTGTTGCAGTAAGTGCATTTATCAATGGCAATTCCATACTTGTTATATCTGTCACCTTAATAAATTACCTACATTTGCAACTTCACAAAACTGTTTCAGTGAAAGTCCGAGAGAGGACTCTGACAGGCAAATGTCACATCCTTACTCTTAACGTGAGAGAGGTAATTTGCCTTTTTAAAAAGAAATTCTGACAAATAGTAGAGGCACTGTTTAGAAATTCCCTTGACCACTGGGGCTATGCAGAGGTGTGTTACCAAAGGTTCTGGTCAAAGTTTCAACTTCATCCTTTGGTTTCAAATATAAAATGTTGTCTACATTTAGTCCATACCAGGGGCTAAACTATAGCAGTGATCTATCACCTGACAACCCCTCCCCATTTGAGAAGGGGAATCAGGAAAAGGACAGGAGGTCCAAAGGTTGAAGCAAGGACAGATTTAATGAAATAGCAAAACAAAGTATGCAAAGTTATGCTCAACCTAGAGTGTCTGGCCCTCATAGTCCTCAGGAGCAGGAGAAGAAGGAAAAAGCAGGAGGAGGAGCACGAAGGACCCCAGCTAGAACCTCATCCCACAGGAGATCTCTCTCCTCAGCAAACCTTCCCCCTTTATAATGACCATGACATTACGGTATGGGCTACATCTGTAGCTAACTCAGCTCAGCTGCTCTGGCTGACTAGAAACTGCTAACAGCACGGCTAGGCTGTGATTCTATTCCAGCCAAACCAGGACAAAGGTAATTGTCCGAGAGACCCAAAAACATCTCCAGCAAAATCAGAGAACTCACAGTACATCCTATGTTTTTTTAAAAAGTAGCACAATACACTGAAAGAGCAAAGCCTTCTTCATAAATCTTAATGAACTGAGGGCGAAAAAGCCCTCTGTACACCACCTTTCCATGGAGTGAAATTGCTGTAGTTCCTAGGGGTAAAAGGCCACCGCAATTATTCAGCGCAGCTACAGAAATAATTTCCTGTCCCTGCACTCTTTGTGTTTTTACTTCTTCTACACAAAACAAACTGTCAAAGCACGCTGTGCTACAGCTCTGCTCTTCAGAGAGGTTTAAATGCAGAACATCTTTGATCATGGGTAGAGAGTTCCAGCAGGCTGTTTGCTCGCACTCTGCTCTGGAGTGATGCTTAGATATTGGCTTCTCTTTGGTGGTCTCTCCCTCCTCTCATTCCCTAAATGAGAAATTGCATTTGTCAGCTAGTGGTATTTGGTCATGACAGCAACTACAGAACACAGACCACAAGCTAAGCAAAAACAGTCTTTTTAAAAGAAAAGTATCCAGGCTTCGCTTGTCACACTTGCACGTGTGAAGAAAGCTGAGTGAACCTAACTCCACCTGCACACAATTGTCCTTGTAAGAACAGGAGGAGATATATCAGTGGATATACACACAAAAAAAAAAAGTGTTGCCTTCAGACCTCGTTTTTACTAAGGTGATTCTCAGCATCTAAAATCATCTTGTGACATGCAAGAATGAGTGCTACGTACTCTTTTCCACATTCTTGTCCTCACTGTGCTTGCATCTTATGGCCTGTACATACAAAACTGTAATGAATTATAAAAGGGACAGCGATAGTTCTAAGACATGACGGTTTCTTATTTTAATAGCTAGTCCAGGGATTGTTCCAATCACTGTGAACTCCCTTAATAACACTACTTATCATAGGAGCTAAATCTAATTTCACGATTTTAATTTCCTGCAATGTAAAATGTTACTTATTTAAATTTGATCTAATTTGTGTATTCCTTACCTCCCCCCAGGCAGCAGGTGGAGGCTCCACAGGAGGGTAATATTTGGGGACATCCCAAGCCACTGCAGCCATGAACCACTTGAAATCTTTACATTTAAGATGCTTGCGAAGTTCCTTCTGGGCAGAGATATCACCAGTTGAGAGATGTCTGTACTCAGGCCGTCGCTGGTAAATGTACTCTGCAAACTCATCCATCCATGTCTCTGCCACGCGCTTCAGGTTCTGTGCGGCAGAAAAAAGCAATCATTAATTTCTTCATGCTTTGAGTGAATGATATTTCTAAAGGGGAGAACTAATCACAAAAAATATTGAGTAGTTCACATAACTTTAAGCTTAGCTGGTCTAATTTCTCAGCCTTAAAATGTGGAAAAATACCAGTAAATGTATGCTGTCTTCATTATAGAGCAAACACTAAAGAGTATTAAGCACCCTGCTTTCTCTACTGTTCTGTAAGATACAGTCTTCTGTCCGCTGAACACCTTATTTCCTTCATACATTTTATGCATCTTCCCATGGGTTTTGATTAATGATGGATGTTGAACAGAAGCTTTCCTTCAGCTGCTCACAGTGGTACCTATAATTTTTTCCTGTTAGTTCAGAACCTACTGATGTGCATGAACGGTTCAAATTACTCCTTCTGATGTATTTCACTTTGCATTTGAAAGGCATCTGAATTTTCAGCTGTCATTATACTGCTTAGTCACCTAGCAATTCCTAGCTAAATCAGGTCTTACATGTGCACGTATGGGGGCAAACAGTCATAAGCTTGCTCTGCCCTGTCTCACGGCTGGTTTTGCACTACCTTTGGACTAGAAGCTTTGCTTTGTTTGCAAAAGTCTATGCAAAAGCATAGCACGTAACCCTGAAGCGGAGCTGACCTGAAGCAAAGCAGATCATGCAATAGGTGTGGCAACTTGTGGCTTTCTGCACTCATCCTATAGACATATCTAAGACTATTCCTGTTCCATGAAACCCAGTTCTGGATTACGTCCCACAAAGTTTATTTTTGTTGGAATTTTACAGGAAACAGAATTACCTATTTTGTTTCATAAGAATTTATTCAAATTGTAATTAAATTAGCTGACTCAAATTGTAAAACAAACAACAAGAAAGACTTGTAAGGAAAAATCCTGAACAGACAAGACTGAAGAGATATATTTATTGTTATTTAACATCATGGAGTCTAAATAGGCTGTGGTCAAATTTTTCTGTGTTTTTGTTTGTTTTTAAAATTCCTCCTACAACTCAATCCCCACAAATTTATATGCAGATGTTGCAGTGGAGTACAGGCTTAGTCTATTCTGCACTTCCACATCTGCCCAATAACCTCTTATTCCACCAACAAAGCAACATCTCACTGGATGACACTGAGACACTAGGGTGTTCTTATTGCTTGGTTGTAAAAACAAGATCATCAAGTTTTGTAATATTCTTTTTATAGAACACTAACTGCAAAATGCTGAGATTCACCCTGTAATAAGCTGGAGGACAATATACATCTGATTATCATCAACATAAGGTAATGTTTCTTCTCAGAACATTCTCTGCATCTAAGTAAGTCTGATTCGTACTCTGATTTGCTTTCAAGATTCATTTGAAAATTCCTTTCCTGAATTTTATTAATCCACACAAACTAAATGTCTCCGAACTAATAAGGCTTATCTGAATACAAAGACAGCAAGATACAGAAGAAACGAAACACTTTCAGCTGACACTGCAAGATAAGTTTCTATGTGCTTCTCTGTGAAGCAAATGCATTAAAACCTGCAAGGATAAAGCAAGTAAAATTAAGGCAGTGTAAGAATTCACAACACTTATACTCCTATTAAAAATGGCTCGTGCCCCACATAAGGTTGACTTTTGCTGTAATTTCATGAAAACCTAAATTACTTTACAAGAACTTAGAATTCAAGAATACAGGAACTGGGTAGGACAAAGAAAACCAGAACAAATTCAAGAACAACATTGAAATCACAATCCCACCTTTCTGGCAGAAACCCTATAACACAGAAATCTCCTGACAAGTAAAAATACTATGTGATGAGACTTTGTAGATGAGGCCAAAATATGATTAAGCACATTAAATTAAGAAGCCAAAATCATGGAAAAAGGTGTGATCTTTCTAGCATATCTTCCACTGAAATGCTGCACACCTCATTTACTATAATGCAAATGCAGTTTAAGACCGTTCTAGAAAATAGCATACTATTTTTGGCAATCACTTTACAATTGTGCTATTTTCATATTTAAAAATCTTACTGTAAAAAGAACCATACAGTAAAAAAAAATAAAATCTGTTAGGAAAGAAAAATTCAAAGTAACTCCAGCAGCGACTTACCCTATCAATATTAAGAGCGGGCTCTGCTGGAGTTTTCTCTTTAGTTATTTAGCTGCACTGAAAGAACTGCATTCTGCTTTAGATGATTATAACTGAATAAAACAGGATTCCAAGAGAAATCTTGATATATCTGGTCAGTAGTTCACAATTCTCATTCACCAGTCAAAACCTCTTTGTTTTCCAGTAAGTCTTTTATCACTGACTGGGGGGAGGGGGGGGGGGGGGCAAAACATTGCATTTAAAAAAAAAAAAAAAAATCAGTTCTTCCCACCATTCCTCAAGTATCAGGTAAGACAGTTCAGACCAATCTATTTAAAACTTTGTTCCCCAGTTCTTCCAAAACCATTCTCTCCATCGTATGCTAAAAGTCTTCCCAAACCTTGCCAGATCCTGTAATAAACTTATATATTATCCTTAGCATGTTTATACAGTGCTGTCATAAGCTGAACCCTTATGAGGCAGACCTTTAAATTTCAATAGGTTCGTGGGAAGTTCTGAATTTGCCAGTTACTAGGAAGCAAGCACTTAGCATCCATACACTTCAGTTTTAAAGAGGTTTGTTGACATCAGTTAGCATGGGTTTGTTATCCTCATTATCACTACGCAAGCTCAGTAATCACCACACTTCCTTTTAACATAAACATGTACAGACTAGTAGTAAAACTTCAAATTGCAGTTAGTCCCCATACTTGAATTGAATGCAGTCAGGAAGAGCTGCTGTCCTGAAAGCTAGTCTGGTGCAACCTTGCACAATAAAGGCAAACACCGTTTACATTCCTATTTAGAACACACTAACCCAGCATGTTCTTGGAGCAAAAATACAGGCTGTCCAAAATTAGATGAATGAGCTTTCTTAAGCTGAAGATCCCCATTCTGTGCCTGTCTAACAGCATGAAAAGTTACCCTGTGCAAAGAACCTCCTAGGAACATAACTCTTCTCTGCAAATTATGTCAGTGAACTGCTGGTCTTTTACTCACCTTATCACAACAGAAAGGTAGAGGCGTACAACCAAAGCGAGAGTGCTCATCTCTGAACACTTTAAGGCCTACCTTAAGGTCAGGATGTGATTTCAAGTCCCAGTGTTGCCCTTTCCGCAATCTGGGGTGACTGTCTGACACGGTGGAGAAAGGACAGTCACTTCCTCCTTGCCTGAGCCTTAGGCAAGGTTAGATGCAATCTGAGCATGTCAACATATTAAACCCCAGAAATAGGAATGGTTACGAATAGCTACCAAATCTTGACAGAGTCTAGTTGTAAAACAGGTGCTAAGCAGTTTGACTTGGTTAGGACTTTACTGTACGTGTGTACACTGCCACAGAACTTACAGGTCAAGGGAGTTTAAGAGCCTATCAGATTAGGTGGCATTTTGTGAATGTCTTACAGCATCATTTAAGCACTCCAGTCTCACAGTGAAGCTAATCTACAAAGAATTTAGAACAAACAAACAAACAAAGAGTTATATTTGAATCTTCTTGATTTCTGTCTCTATTACTCTTCATGTAATCGTCTAAAGAAAACTTTAAATGCCAGTTTCTCAAATGGCATCAAATATTGTTATCAATAAGAAGAATCAGTTTTGGGATATCCTCGTGCTACATTGCACTTGCTTGCATTCAATCTGAACACCTCATTAAACGCATATGCAAAGTTAAAATGAAACATGTTTCTACAGCTAAAAACTGCTGTAGCTTAGCTTGGTTGTCAAATTCATGGCAAGTTTACAGATGTCCAGATTGGTAACCCTGGTCTTTTAATAGGAAAAAAAGGAAAAATAAAAATTAAATAGGAGCAATTAAATGACAATCAATTCAATACTAATCAGCTACATGAATTAATATACAACATAAGGAAGCCACAGGGACTCTAGATGGACATCTGAGGAGTTTCTCAGGACCTATCCATGACAAACCAATGATAATTTGTTCTCTTGTCATTTTCAGCGAAAAATTTCTGTACTAGAATAAATAAGGCCAAATGATATTTCAGTAGATGCATATTTCTATATGTAAGGTTGTGACAGCTGTCACCAAGAAGCTGTGAGATGCATACAAAAGTGATGGCAACCACACTAAGACCGACTCGTCAGCTGTCATCAGCTGCCAATGTACACATTCTTGATGTAATTAAGTTTTGTGCCACTGTTAAAATTTTACTCTCTGGTAAATCCTTTACTGTCAGGCTTACATTTAGACAAGTTTTCTTTAAGTTTTTATGAACTCACACACTTAAGACTGTGACTTTGTTTTGTACTTTCACTCAGCAATAGTCTAAAAGACAGCAAGTTACAATGTCACTGATAACTGGACTACAATAAAAGAGTTTAAATCAACTTGACTGGAGAAAGAGAGAGATAAATGAGGACTTCTGTACTTGAAGAAATGAAAATTTTCATGGACCATTTTGTCCCTTTCACTTTCTTCAGTGAATAGGGAAGATACATCTCTCTGATCAAATTACTGTCTATTCTTTTTAAGCATGTAAGATCATTTATCATTTTCAAGGGACATGATATTACTCAAATAAATGCAGTGAGAAGAAAGTAGACACTGGCCCTGAGAATGGAAAAGTGGAGCGAGGCAGGGACATGTCAAAGGACAGATTCATAAATATTTCCTCTAAGCAAGGTTTAAATAGATTGGTCCCTAATATGAGAGGGGTGGTTCCACATTTCAGAACTGTGGCGGGTGTGCTGGCTTGCAATGCCAGCATTGGTAATAGAGCTACCTAGCTGTGCTCTGTTATGCATTGCAAGCCCGCACTACTCCATTCTCTAGTTGCATGTTTTCCAATTGATGTTCTAGATGCAGCAGTTAAACTAGTATAAAAATGTAATTCCTGTTTTCAGTTTCTCCAGATGTTCTAAAGTAGATTTTTGTTATCCAG